TGTTAACCAAGTGAGAGTTCAGAAAGATTCTGTGAATGGTGGGGATCTGGGTTTCAAGCAAACAGAATCTGACATAAATAGTAAAACTAAGAAGAGTAAGAATGAGACTAAGGAAGACATTTTAACCTTGCATTAAAAATTTGTAGAAATAACTCCTGGCCAAAAAGAATTAAAATCTTTCATTATATTGTTTTATAGTAAAATGCTTAAGAAAATCATCTTCATCTTCATCTTCATGTTGTCTTGTTTTATCAGATTGCTTTTCTTAATTAGTTCAATGATAATTAAGGAGACGGGTATTTCCATTTTTCCCAAGTTACATATAAATAGTGTTTTAAGTGTGTACACTTGCAAATTAAACACTTGGGGGAAGAGTATTCAAAGGTTAATAATACATAATTTAAAAAGCAAAACAATATAAAATATGAAAAAAAAGAATTTAAAATGTCAAATTAGGCATAAAGTAAGTGCATGGACTAAAGGAAATAGGTCTTCTTATTCAACTATATGTACTTGTGAATAAGTTTAAATAATTCTGAAAATAGAATGGCTAGAAATAATTATAGACACCCTAGTAGGTAACAATAGCTTTGAAGCATGAATTAATTAATGCTATAGTTCTAGGTATTCGATTGGTCAATAAAGGACATTTTCACATAATGTCATATTTAAAAGAGGAGGAAGGAAAAGGATATGAGGATGTAGAGTAGCAATGAATGTTCTGTCAGCTCTTTGGACATCTGTCTGTGTGGGAGGACGACACACCTGAAATACCAGTCAGATAACAGCATCTCATAATCTTATCATACATTTGTCTTATCTTCATGCTGTAAATCACATGAAGTCCATAGTGCCCCATGCCAGTGACATATTAATATATCCTTAAATAAAAATACGAAGCCATGATTTATCATCAGAATTCCTTCCAAGAAGACTTTTCTAGATTACTTACCTGGATACTTTTATTCCCAGGTAACAAATCTGCTCATACCGCCTCCTCAGAATCTAAAAGAAAAGTTGAAAAAAAATAAATTGATACATAAAAAATAAAATTAAGCAAAATACACATATAAAAAGAAATTAATGGCTAAAATCAGCTCAGATGTAAGATGGAATATTATCAGAATGCAGGCCTACGTGGATAATTGAAGGAAGGGATGATGAGAGAAAAAGAAGATTTTTAAATGGCTTGGGGTGAAATTCACAGGAGCAAATGTCATTTTTTTAAAAAAACATGCTTAATGTTCTAGGCATGAATGAAGTAATATAACTTTGGAGTTATGTTTGCAGAACTAACACCAAAATGTACTGGGGGAAAGCTATTTACATCTAATCTTAATCTCATTGATTATTCATTCTCTTCCTCAATGCCTGTGAATTTTTATTTTTCCTCAGAAGAAAAAAGTTCAAGGGAAAAAATGACTACAGAGATTCAATATACCAGACCAAAGTGCCTCCATGTGCTCCCCAAAAATCAAGAATGGTCTCTCTCCATATCTTTCTTAATATTGAATGTCCTCATCCTTGTATGGAAGCAGGAGACAATCCTGACACCCCAATTTGGTTGGAATTTCTCTCGTCCCGTGCACATTTCAGTCTGTATGAGCTGCTGCCATTCTCACAGTATACTGCACAGTCTCATTTTACAGAGAGTAACCATTGTCATAATGGACACCTTTATCCAGATTTATTTCTTACATGTCCCACTCACCAAGAATCACCATTTACTGGCCAGAATGTCCTATGGGCAATCCAGGTCCATCAGGCACTCTGTGAGCTACACAGTCATGGTAACTGTGGAAGTCCAAAGTGATCTGCTGGGCCAGCCTCACTTGAGTTCAAGGACACACACAATGGCAGTCTCTGTGCTTCTGCATGCCGACTGGATCATCGTCTGTTGCTAGTCTTACACAGCCCCTCAGACTCTAACTATTGCCTGTTAGGGTTTTGCTCAAAAGATTGCCAGATTTTTTTTTTTTTTTAGCTGATGTTGCCATAAAGATCACCAGTGCTATAAGAACCATCTTCATCCTTCAGGTATCCATCCTGGCTTTAGTCCCAAGGATTCCCTACTGTGAAGCTTTTTGTAGCCATATCTTCCATCTCTCAATTCTGGGTTTATCCACCTTCATTCTCTGAGATTAAAAACAAACTGGCTCAAGTCTTGTCCTAGCTTGTACCAGGTAACCACAACTATAATCATGCTGAACCCTCTTTGTACACTTCAAGGCATTCTGAAGGAAGGAATTTCCCAGAGACCGTGCCAATAAAAAGGCTATTGAATGTGTATCAAAGGGAACCACATTAAAGCCTCTGCTGTTAATTAAGCTGAAACTGAAGCCCAATCTATTTGGTGTCATCTGGTCTTGGAAACTGAGACATGTTTGAATTTCAAAAATGTCAAATGCAAAAAAACAAAATGTTCTGTATATAACAAAGTAGCAGTCCCTATTTTAAAATTTTGCTGAGTTGTTGTCTGTTTTTTTCTCAAATAAAAATTTTCCTCATGCCATTTCTTTTTTCTCTTATACGCTTTATGGGGCATTTGGATGGTGAATACAGAAGGCATTCATTTCTCACATCACACAACACGTGTTTATTTTGAGCCTAGGCAGTAAAAAATTCTGAGTTAGTTCTCATCTGTGGACTTTTCTCCCTGAAGGAAAACAACACAAGTTAATTGTACAGTTAAAAAAATATAAAAGTACTATGTGAATCATTTTCTGGAAAAATATTTTTCTGTTATAGCACATGTTATTGAATGAGTCCTATGGGTTGATATGTTTGTGCTATTCAAATAAATCTGACAGATGCAAACAATTGGACATTCGAATTGTGATGGTCATAATGTAATCACAGACCAGAGTGTCTTTTCTCAGGTAATAAAGAGCAGAGACTTTCCCATGGTCAGACAACTAAGGTGTTTTATGCGATGTCACAACATACACATGGCTCACAAATACAAAGAAAGTAAATGCAGAAGTGAAAAGCTTTCCTTTACCCTGAAGGTTGAAATTTCCCACTCCAGGATGATACCAGCACTTCTTCCAGCCCTGATTAAATTTTGGCAAGAGTAAGACAGAATTATAGGTGGACATTTCTAGGTGCTTAACTTACTCTATACTATATTAACAATAGGGAAACATTTCATCAAGGGAAATCTAAGCCTCAAATCAAATACAGCAGCACATCAGCTACTCCAGTGCACACTCCAGTGCTACTCCAGGATAATTCAGAGCGCCCACCCACAAACCCACAGTGCTAGAAAGAATCATCAACCCACATGAGTTCCTGGTTGTGGGAGAACAAAGTATCAGTGGTTTTGAGTTATGTCCCTAGCACCTTCAAGAACTAATCTTACCTAGATTGTTACAATCTAGAGAATGCTCTTTCTCTCAAAGTGTATCCCCAGTTAAATACATGAATCACATGTGTACCTTCCTTCAACATGAGTCCTTCCTCAAAACTAAAATTAAATCTCATGACCAAGCAGATCCTTAAAAACGCCTTCCCCCGCTTTAGAATCTGGCTGATGACTAACACTCCTGAACTTAGAATTTCTCTTTCTCAGATTTGCGAGCAATAGGGTGGCATAGTGTAAATACTGGTTCAAAAGTGCCAAAGTCAGTCTTCCCTAGCTGGAGTGTGAGACACACGATGTCAGTTGCTCCCTTCATCTCCTCCTTTCTGGTCATTCATCCGGACAAAATCCACATTGTCATCTGCTTTCTGCAAACCCACTCTTTAGAAGGCCTGGCTGGATTTCACCCCAGATATTCAATTCCTAGAATTGGGTCATCAAGCAATGAGAATTCCACAGAAAGCCAAATCCTTGCTAAAAAGTATATTACTATTTGTACTGGGACTAGGCAGTGAAATGATAGTGATGAAATGTGACAAAAATGGCAGTAGTTCAGCTGGCTTTCTGACTCTGTCCCTAACTCTGGCCCCTTTGGTCATTACTCAAGATAGGCACACAGTCCCAGGTACTGGAAACAGATGTCCTATGGCTTACTGTTAAGGTAAACTGATGATGAGCAACTACAGATTTTGCAAAATCATGGCATTCTTCAATCAGAAAATCAAACTTACATTGCACTCTCCACCATATATAGCCTATTCTCCCCCCTCACCAGAATGAAAAGTCACAGATTTACCTTCTACAAGTTACTTAAACAGGCAAAGTTGACTAAGAAAGACGACTAAAACCAGACCTGCAGGTCTGACCCAATTGGACTTTTTTCCAGTTTCCTCCTCTTTGGTGTGAATTAATGAACTCTGGGAATGAGAGATGGAAAATGCACTTTCCAATTTGAGGATGCTCTTGACTTTAGCTCTGCCTCGACTTAAATGCCAAGGTTGCAAACAGTGTCCATGTACTTTAAGGACTGTGCTAAATCACTGCAATTAATGACCTAGACAATCAGGTTCTAATCTTTTTCTCCCCGGTGGCCATGAGAAAAAGACCAGTTGCATAGAGAAACTGACTCTAGCCACAGAAGGAGGCATGGATTGCACCAATTTCAATCCAGAGAGAAATGGAGAAGGGAGAAAGAGAAGGAGGTCTACAGGACCATTAGAACATTCGGTCTCTGACTGCTTAATTTGATTCAATGGGAAATACATAACAGTTGGAGAAATGAACACTACTTTTCTTTTACATTATCTTTTGTGATAAATATACTAACGAAGATCATCTTTTCTTTGCGAGCAAAAATGTCCTCTGTGTGCATCCCAGTCATACAATCTTTGCGCAATCTTACCTAGTTCCCCATAAAACATTTACTGGGCCTTGACCGCAGCCACAACTTTAAGGCCACCCACTGTAGATGTCATGGAAAAGGGAGGATGGCTGTCTCCTAGCATCAACCCAAGGTTCTGAAAGTGGAAGTCATCCTGAGAATGGGCACCAAAGCATCATGACCTGAGTCATCATTAGTTACGGGGATGATTTAGGGATTTTAATTCCCAAGGGTGGTTTAAATCAAATGTTAAGTATCTCAGAGAAACTCTGTATAAACTGTTCCCTTGGTACTCATGAAGCTCTGGAATCACAAGAGATAACAGACTCATTGCACTTTAACTTTATAAATACTCACAGTTTGTGTGGAGCACAAAAACCAAGCTCTCCAGTCAGATATGAAAAAGCCAGTTTGTCTGACTGGAAATGCACAAGGTGGATGCTTCCAGAACCAGGATTGACTCACTGTCCAAACAGGCGCTTGGTAAGTTGCATTTACTTCTAAGGCTGTCGTGGCTAAAGCCACAAGGCAGCTTAAAGAAGGGTTTTGGTTCCAGGACTGTGAAGAGGACTGGGCTTTGGGACAGGCGTGCTTTGTTTCCACCAGAGTTGAAATGTGGAAAGATTGGTTGGCTTTTACTTGGAAAGCTGGGATGTTATTTTTAACCAATGCATTATTCTATGAGGAAAACACAGCAGGAACCTGATAAATGTATAAAGCTTCTGAAATCACAGGCAAAATTTTAAATAAGTCTTCCTAGAGAGGGGTACTTAGCTTTCATCAGATTCTCAAAGTGGTTCATGTACTTTCTCTTTCTAAGGGTTAAGAATATTTCTTAGGTTCTTCAAGAAAGGTGTTTGAATTGTTTCCCCATAAAGAGTAAAGGTAAGGAAGAAAACAACACTGAGTTGTCAAATGTTGAACATACTGATTAAACACAATAAATTGTAAAGGTGCCAGAACAAATTAAGAGGAAGCGTTATTGAACTCATCCCAATATGCCTAACGATTAGACTCACAGGAGTCTAATCTTGCAAGAAAAAAATAGGGAAAACAAAATTATGAAAAAATAAACACTGAGAAATCATGAATGGGGAGATAGTTTAGGCAGAGGTCTCTGGAATCAGCCTATCCAATTTCAAATCTTGGCTCATCTATTTTGGTAATCTGACTACTGAGCATTTCTATGTCTTAGTTTCCTCCTTAAGAAAATAATGAAAATAATAGTTATGTACTAAATAAAATAATATATGTAAAACAGAATGAATCTTGGCATATTGAAAGTATTCAGATAAACTACTCATTATTTGGATTCATTAAGTTTGAGCGTAATTAAATCTCAGCATTTTTTAAAAGAGACCACAAATTTTCTCTCAGAAAATTATGAGCCAAATATTTATAATTAGAGATTTACTATTTTGTTTTTCCTGGAATTTATCATCAGGTCTAGTTATATTCTAAGAACTAATAGTCTTGATATTATTAGTAATCTTTAAACTTAAAAATTAATTCAATTAGAATTTTCTTGGAATGCAGAATAACATTTTTATAGGATAAATGATACATAAATATTTAGCTAACAGAATGAAAATTTTTTAAAACCTCCAAATTAGAATGTGTTAACAATGTCTAGAAACTTTACAGCAAATGTGAAATCATGTCAATAATAGCTAACAGAGTTAAAAAAATATCTGCCAAGCAAGAGCTGTTAAACAAAGCTAGACTCTCCATGCTGGCTTTTAGACTCTTCCAGAGTTACTAAAACTTTCCCTGTCTCAGTTTGAAGTGGGAACTGTTCAAATGGATGTGGAAGACTTAATCACTTCTAGAAATGAACCCAAAAGAATGTTTTGCTATCTTTAGATGGCACAGAATTCAGAACAACAAAAATTTACAGTCAAACGCTTTAATGGGTAAGACTGTTTAAGTGCAGTGCTTGAAGAGGTTTGGTTTTGTGTTAGGCTATGATTGAGAGAGAGCAGACCACAACAAAACAGGTTACATCTACCATAAGCCAGAAATCTCAGAAATGCTCATATTTCCAAGGTTCCTTACTACTTCTTAGACATCTTAGGGTATCTTTTCTTCCCTGCTGACTCCTTTCCCCACCGTTAAGGATTTTTTACCCTAGGGTCTATCCTTGAACAGTTGCTGGCACTATTCTCTCTACCTGAATGATCTCATTGGTTCCCACCCTTCGTACCATCATCTGTATATCCAGGGCTCCTGAATCAGATCCTGGCTCTGACTGTGCCATGAACCCTTGTCCATCCTTCCAACTGAACTCAACACTCTTCTCCTACTCTACTCCTAGCCCAGACTTGCTATGTTGAACATATTCAAAGTAACAACATAGCAATGTTGTTAAGTAAATATAGTGGGGAAATTTGCTTCCTTTTTTCTCTCAATTATGTCTTCTACTTTTGAATTCTATGATGTTAATTGTGGTAGGAGTGTGTGTGTGCACGCACGTGTGTATGTGCCTGCATGTGTGTATCTGTGTATGGGTGTGTGTATGTGTGTGTGCAAATGTGTGTGTTTAAATTGTGTTAGATATCCTTAGGAAAGAGGTAAGGTAAAATTAAACTAAACTGTTAATTCTTATATTAGCATTACTCTGGTCTCCCAGACTTGAAAACTCAGAGTCTCAGTCAATTGCCAAGTGACACAGACTCTGCCTTTGAGATATTTCTTGCACCTATCTCCTTTCTTCATTTCTGCCATGATTTCCTAATTCAAACCCTGATACTGTCTGACATGGAAAATGTCTCAGCTGGTGTTCCTGCTGATGGCTGTCTTCCTTTGCACCATCCACACACTGCCAGACCACCTCCATGAAAGCTGAGTGCTGGTCAAGACAATTCCACTGCTCAAGTGTTCAGTGGGTCCACGCTCACTACAGAACTAGTTACTGGAGCCCCTGACATCCAAAGCTCTTCACATCTAGTTTATCCACCATGAATCTCTTTCATAGGCATATTCTCTTACCCAAAAGGAATCCCACAGTCACGAGAGCATTCTCTGGGCTGCTCTGGCTGAACCCCTTATCAATTGTTCTCTCTACCTAAGACTCTCCTTTAGTCCACCCTTCACATTCTGAGGTTCTTTCCATCTCCCAATGGCCAGCTCAGTTCATTTGGAAGGCTGCTGACTGCCTATAGGATACAAACCCAACTCCTTATAGAGGGGATCAGGCTCTCTGTTATTTAGCCCAGATATGCATTTCTAGCCATGTTTCTTGTCATTTGCTCACAAACAGTACCACCTTTAGACCCAGACAAAAGGGACCCTGCCTTGGCTCCATTCTTCAGAGCCATTCTGGGCTTCTTACTGCTATACCACATTCCATGGGGAAAGGCATCTATGATGCCAGATGAATGTGCCTTTCCAGTCCATGGTATCCACCCCTTCTAGAAGGTCTTCCAAGTAATAGAACCCTAAGATTCCTTCCTCAAAAGGCTCTCAACTTATTCCCAGGGTCCACGAGTGTCTCTTCTCCAAATCATCCTTGTAAGGGTGAATCATGCTGTTGATGTCCTCACACCTAGGCCTTACGGGTGGCAAAAGGATGGCCACTTGCAGGGGTGTAAACAGAGCTTGTATGTGCTTGCTGACATGTGGGCTAGCGACAGGTCCTCCTCACAACACTGCCTTCTAGCCTGGAATTCCAAGGATCCTAAGAATTCTGCCTTCCAGATATTATAAAGGACAGTTGTTAAGGAGGGAAGATAAAATGTGTTTTAATAATTTATCTTGTTTTTAACTTTTAAATATTTAGGCATATTGTATGTGGGCCTTCACTTATTACTGTTACTCTAGGCCCTGCCAATGCCAAAAGCAGGTTTGCTCCTAAGAAGCCTCCTTTCTAACCATACCAAATATCTCCAGTTCTTTAATGCCTGGACTTCCTCAAACCTCAGTAACTTTGCATAGGCTATCCCCTCCATCTAGAATGCCTGAAAATTTCCTTGTACTTCTGAAGCATCCTTCAAGAGGCTAAAAGGTAAAAATTACTATATGTGAACATTACTCTGGAAATATTAACCAATGCAAGTAGGGAAGAAAAAGGAACAAGAACAAATTATAGAAATGAGAAATGAAATTCACATCTTTTTATATTGTATGAATATGTAGTTGAGAAACCCAAAAGAATCAACCAGAAAACTATTCTTAAATTATAGGAAACTATTGTAAGGAAGAGAGTTATAAAATTAATTTATAAAAATCAGTAGTTTTGCCTTATGCAAATAATACTTGAATAGATCACAACAAAACTTTTTTTTTAAGATTTAATTTGCAATGGTAACAAAAGATAAAATATCCTTTTGTGACTAGAATTTAAAGAAATACGTAGGATATATATCTGTAAAGTTTAAAGAAAACTAAAATTCTGTTTAGGAAATTATTTAATCAATAAAATACGCCAGACACGGTGGCTCATGCCTGTAATCCCAGTACTTTGGGAGGCTGAGGCAGGTGGACCACAAGGTCAAGAGATCAAGACCATCCTGGCCAACATGGTGAAACTTCCATCTCTACTAAAAAATACAAAAATTAGCTGCGTGTGGTGGCACGTGCCTGTAGTCCCAGCTAATCATCAGGCTGAAGCAGGAGAATTGCTTGAACCCACGAGGCAGAGGTTGCAGTGAGCCAAGATCGCGCCACTGCACTATAGCCTAGCGCCTGGCGACACAGTGAGACTGTCTCCAAATAAATAAATAAATAAATAAATAAATACCACAGTTATAGAAAAGAAGATTCAGTTGTAAAAATGTCAATCCTCCCTTAAATTGACAAATCAACTGAATGCAGTAGCATTCCAAATACAAACAGAATTTTTTTGGAACTTGATAAAATGATGTCAGAGTGTATCTGGAAAATGTACATGTGAGAATGCCAGAAAAATTGCCACTAAATAGTAAAATGAATTATATAACTATTAAATTTAAATGTGTGGTCCTGGTGCTAGGAAACACTACAAAAAAAGAAATCATAAATTGACCCAAGTGCTTCAGAATGTTTTAGTATTAGTATATGATAAGTCTGGAGTTTTAAATCAACAAAATCAGCAGGAAAACAATTTTACTAATAAGTTGCATTAGAAAACCTGACTAGCCATTTGAGAAAATAAGTAAAAGTACAGTCACGCAGTGCATAATGGCATTTCAATCAACAACAGATGACTTACAATGGTGGCCTCATATTATACTACTGCATTTTACTGTATCTTTTCTTTGTTTAGATATGTTTAGATACATAAATACCAGTGCGTTACAATTGCCTACAGTAGAGCCAAATGCTGTACAGGTTTGTAGCCTAGGAGCAATAAGCTATTCCATATAGCCTAGGTGCATAGTAGACTCTACCATTTAGGTTTATATAAGTACACTCTAGGATGTTTACACAAGGACAGAATCGCTGAACAATGCATTTCTCAGAATGTATTCCCGTCTTTATGTGATACATAACTGTAGTTGATTGCT